GCCCAGGCCCGACGCCCCTCCGCGGCAGGGAGAGCGCAGGACCGTGCGCGGCTGGACAGCGCCTCTCTCGCTGCTGAACCCAAGGTCTGCGACACTGCGCTCCCCAGGGGAGGGAGAGGGTGACTGCTGCCACCGGCCTGGCCCATGAGCCTCCTGGGCCTCCAGGGAGGGGGCTCCGGGCCGATCCTGGCTGTCTGTCCCTGGCCGGCTTGGGTGCTGCTGGGGGCCCAGCCCATGGCCAGCCATGAGCACTACGACCCTCGCGTTTGGCCGCAGGCCCGGCCTGTACCAGCCCCCTCGCCTGGTCAGCCCGGCGCATTCACAGCCCTCTTTGTCGGAGGCTGGGACTCAGCCATTTTCTTTCTTCTCCCAGGACCGGCCTGTCTCCTAGGCCCAGTGGTCCGATCACCACAGAGCATTTCTTCCTGTGGGAGAAGTTCCTCAGAGCCAGGCAGGCCTGGGAGAGCAGGAGGCTGCCCGTGGGGGTAGGGGCCTCACGAGCACCCAGGCCCGCAGGAGGCAGAGGGGGAGGCAGCTTCTGAGAAGAAAGTGGGCCAGCCTGGGCTGTGATGTAACTGAGGCAGAGGCAGGAAAGTGTCCAGCCCGCCCAGAGAGGCAGGTGGGCCTGGGGCACACTGTAGGCCTGAGGTCTGGGGGCAGTGCAGACAGTTGGTGCTCAGCGTCCTGGGAAGCAGTAGTTTGGGGGACCCTTGGTGAAGGAAGGCCCAGAGCAGCGGAAGGCAGGAGGCAGCGTTCTAATTATGGTACCAGTAAAATGCTGCGGTGAGGAGCCCTGGGTGTGCGGGTGGTACAGCAGGAGCCACACCTCTACGCTGGAGTCTTGAGTCCATCGCAGGAGGCTGCCAGCCTGAGTGCTGGTGACGGGGGTCACCAAGGCACATGGTGTGGCATTTAGAAACCAGCCTGGGCCGCTGTGGGTGGCGCTGCCCTCTCAAGTCCTGGTGGTCACAGACACGCGTGCCCGTCTTCCCGCTGTGCTGCTGAGGGGCATGTTGGGGGACGTGGCCCCGAGTGTGTGCCTGGCCGCACAGTGGCTGTGTCCTACACCTGCCTTGTGTCCCGAGTGGGACAGGACCCCTGCCTGCAGCGCTGGTGGGCAGCATGGGCTGGGCCTGTGTCCGCTGCTGCCCCACGTGCATTGTCCTGGTGTTTCTTGTGTGGGACCTGCTTGCAGAGTGGCCATTAGGCAGCGGTGGAGGCCACATGTGGTGCCCCAGCTCCCTCCCACCCCATGTGAGCCCAGGGCATTTCAGCCTTCCCTGTCCTCTGTGTCCCCCTGCCCAGGTCTTTCTAGATCAAGCTGCTCCTTAGGTGGCTGGTAGGATGGTCTGCTGGCACTGCCAGCCCACAGGGGCTGGGCCGCTTGGGGTCAGCCGGGGTGGTGCACAGCCCCACTGCCCACTGGGGCAACCTGCCCCTTCCCTGCATCTTCAGCCTGCGTGCCTTGGCCCCGCGAGTTGCTGCTGCCACTTTGTGGTGGCTTTGACCTTGCTCTCGGCTGGCCTGGTGACGGCTGCTGTCATCTCCCTTCTGCCCAGGTGTGTCTCCTGCATGCTGCACAGCGGCCTGGAGTGCACCCTGGCTGATACTTGGCAGCCCCAGGAGACCCCTGGGCCTAGAGGCCCTTTCCAAGGCCCCAGGGTAGGGGTCTACCTGTGGGCACTCCACTGTTACTCCTGACCAAGAGATGTCCATCCAGGCCTTGCTGGGATGTGTGGTGAGGTAGTTAGGAACCAGAGCTGCTGGGACACACTTCTTACATCGAGGCCTGCCCAGAGCCTAGGGAGGGGTGCAGTGGTACAGGTCCCCAAGGGTGTGTGGCCTCAGGTAGGCCGTATGGCCTCAACCCTCTGTCCATTGGTAAATGAGCTGGGCACCTTTCTGCCTAGACCTGAGCTCCCCTGCCTAGGTAGGCCTTGCCCACCCCTGCAACCTTTGGCGTCTGGGCACCTTGTGGGAACAGGTGGCAGACAGGGCCCCTCACCTGCTGCTGGGCCTGTTGGGGATGGGGACAGGGGCTGATCTCCCAATCACCTGGCTGGGGTCACAGGCACAGAAGTGCTGGGCTGGGTTGCCAGGCTGGGGGGCCTTGACATCCCCTGTCTCCTTCAGAGGGACCCATGAGACAGCTGGTATGGAGCACTGGCGGCTGGTGGGGTGTAGGGGGGCAGAAGGATGGGACCTATGACAGGAGGTGTCAGATGGGTGTGACAGGCAAAGGTGGGACAGGTGAGGGGGAGACAGGTGAGAGGGGAGACAGGTGACAGGAGGAGAGAAGTGAGGCTGGGACAGGTGAGGGAGGAGACAGGTGAGACAGCCTACCTGGGCAGCGGAGGCGAGCCACCACCTCATCGAGGCCCTGCCAGGTGTGGCTGTGCTGGCCAGGTCTGTGCTCGTGCCCCATGTTGGGACCCTGGGCTGGGGCTGTTAGTAGCCATTTCCACTGCACTGCACACGCTGCGCTGCTGCCTGAGCCCTGGGGGTCTTGTTCCTGGCAGAGCCTATGAAGGCTGGGAGGTGACCACAGCTAGGGCTGGCAGAGGGCTCCCTGCAGAGGTGGGCTGGACTAGGCTTCATGCAGCCAGAGGCTGCCCTTCCCTGCCAAAGGTGACAGGGCCTGCCCTTGCTGAAGGTGGCTGCTGCCGGTGTGTGAACTCCCCCGTACCCCTGTGTGCCCATACTGGTCACCTTGCGGACAGCGTGAAGCCAGCAGGTGCTGCCCGTGCTAGCAGCCACCTCCCTGGAGCTCCATGTCCGTGCTGTGTCTGTGGAACCTCCAGGCAGCAGTGCACCCTGTTCTCACCTGCTGTGAGAGCTCTGCCCTGGAGCAGTCCCTCACGGCGCCAGGCAGCACTAGGGCAGAGTTGTTTGGAAGACCTGTGACTGGGCAGGGGAGTAGTAGACCACCCTCGTGGTGACTTAGCGGTTCTTTGGGGGGACACCCTGCAGGGTCAGGTCCTCTCTGAGGCAGCACCAGCGGCTGGCCAGCTCCGGAGAGAAGGCCTTGGAGCTTTGCTTGAGATACTGCGGGGCCGGGCTGCCCAGGCCCCAGACAGGATGGAGGTTGGGTGGGGGATAAGGCGGGGACAGAGCAGGGACTGTGCCAGGCCTTGTTCTGCCATGTCTGAGGGCCAGTGTTCTGAGCCCAGCTTCGGGAGCAGCCCCACCCGTGGCAAGGCATCAAGCCTGGTGGTTGCAGCCGCCTCCTTGGCCGCTGGCTGCTGGCCTTTCCCAGCTCCAGGCTGGGTCTGGGATTCCTCCTCACCAAGGGTGGTGACAGCATCTGCCCAGCAGCGTGAAGTCCCCTGGGTCACCCCTAAGTGTCCTAGGGATGCTGGCCTGCGAGGACAGAACCACCTTCCCTGTGGGCCTGGCCAGGTTTGGACAGATAGTTCTGGCCCTTGCAGTTCTGGACTGGCTCAGGGGGACAGGGCCGGGGGGGGGGTGGCCTGGGTGCCTTGGGCTCCCTGGGATGGGAGCTCCTGGGCCTGGGCATGGTCCTGGGCCTGTGGCGTTCATGTGCGGCCATCCCCTCAGGGCCCAGCCTGGGCTGAGGGTCCTTGGGCGGGGCTGGCCTTCCTGGCCTGTGGGCAGAAGCAGGAGGGCACCAGCAGCTGCCAGTCTGCGGTTAGCTGTGCAGGCGGGGGCGGCTCACATCAGCGAGGCCAGTGGCAGCTCATAGGGGGCGTTTCCTGGTTAGGAATGTAGAGTCTAAGACTGGGGCCCTGACCCCGATGGGGGGGGGGCTTGTGGGGGCAGCGTGTGGGCTGGGGTGATTGT